AGCTAGAAGAAGCTTGACCGGAAGTTTGAAGTGGCGCCAAATCAGGATATTCAAATCTAATGGGGGTTGGTCCTGGTTCCGAAAGGGGAGTTTTAATACGAGGGGGGGTGGATTCTGTACTGGAGGAGGAAGCGGAAGTGGATGGGGGCAATAGGGGAAGGGGTGCAGAGCTTCCTGCATTCGCGTCACTTCCTCTTAAAGAAAAGTAAGGAGGCGGCAAAGGGATCTCGGACTCAGGGGGCGTGTCCAAAATGGGCCTAACACCAGTCCTAGTGGACAAACAAGTCCTGGCCACCATGAGGCGACATTGCTCCTCGTGGCATATCCGAATCCATTTTGGCGAGTCGTTTACGGCCTGCCCCCAACAATCAATGTATGGAAACTGTCTGTAAAGTTCAGGCCTACCTGACACAGCCACGTGTACACGCTGTACCAGGGTTGGATCCAAACTGCCACGCGGCGGCCATGCCGCAACCAAAATAGGCCACTCCCTAGTGCACAAAGTGACCAAACGTACAGGAGACATTTTAACCCCAAAATCACATGTTTTGAATCCCTTTTAAAAATTCTTTACCATACAACCTAAGGGATCCGAAATCGTTGACTCTGACGCGCCCATACTTATCAATGGAACGTCGTTGACAACGAATACTATGCACGCGTTCTTATTCAACAGTCACACCCGTTTCCTCTGGCAACAGCACCACGTGGTACAGTTACCGAGTGAAACGTACACAATAACACAATAATCACTCAGGGAATTCCCGTACACACACAGCTGTTACACCAGTCACTAAATAATCAATATTATGCCCTTTGGCGAAACTATACAGTCACCCACGCTATAATTCTCTATATATGAATTACCCGTCTATAACACACCCCAGTAACATCGTCTTTTACTAGTATCGGTTACAGTACGGTTAGCATAGGTCAAAGCACAATTTAAGGTCACAATACAATTATTAGTGGTTAGGGTGTTAAACATGCAATAGACGACAATGATTAGTACTTATATACAGTGTCAGTAAATATACAGGGTTATGGTACCGTGCACTATGATACAGCAACACACTATTAACACTCTCGCTAGACGGCTGAGCTCGCGCTATCTAACAAGATATACACTTTACTAACAATCTTTAACACATTTACAATCCCAACTAAACTATTGGCCAGTACCTTGAATGGACTACCTAAAACTATATACACCCGTTTTGGTTAGCCACACTGCCCAAACACCACATATAGCGAACTAGAGGGCGAAATTTACAAAATTGCCCTTCTAGTCTATTTACTCTATCAAAAGTCTAGTGGGTTCCAAATTTACACGCCTTCCCACTTAGCCAAGATAGGTTGAGAGCTAGCGAACCGAATTTACACAGGCGCCGCTTAGTCTCCCGGTCCCTCCGACCTAGCGAACGTAATATACACCCTAGAACGCTAGTCTAGACAAGACACCGGTGTCCGGCTAGGGCTATTTACACAGGACCCCGCCTGACTAACCAGATCAAACGGTCTTACTAAAGAGCGTTCGATCGAGCGGTGCGCCTTCGCTCCTTCCCTCCGACAGAGGGGGCAGATTCCATACACAGATTTAAACCCCTTTTGGGCCTACCGCACAATCGGTATACCCCTAGTGGGTCTGCCGTCTAAAACAGCAGTTGTCTTACCTCCTCGTTCCTGAACCTGAGTTCACACTCATCGACGGGGACACCCCAGCACTTCTTACGTAGAGGCCGATGATCTCCTGGACAACAGACCAGTGGCGCCGAGACGAAGGGAGGTCCACGCAGAAGTTCAGGGGTGCAGCCGTAGAGAACGTGGGCAAAGATAGACCGTCTCACGCCTCTGCCTCTCAGCTACCGTTGAACGATGAGCTTCCCGGCCAATGCACCAAATGATACCGGAGAAACTGACGGAAGCAAAGCACAGAGGGATGGACACAGGTTTCTTCAGGAAGGAAGAGATTCTTTATTGGATCACCGATCGGGACTCAGAGGGACTAATACAAAAATACAGCAAGTTCTGAGCCCTGAACAATAGTGCAGGCTCCCTATATAGGCACATAACTCCTCCCATATTAAGCTCCACCCGCACATTCTCTTGACCAATCATTACAAATAAGAATTAACTTCCTGCTTGACCGCATGGCTTGTCCAGCACAATGGAGGAGGGGAATACTACATCCTGTATTCTTGCACATGCTCCGTACACTACTGATCGTATCTTGCCTCGTGCAACCAACTGATCGATACGTCAGCATATGCACGTACACATGCCACGTGGTAATCTCGGCCTACTAAATTTATTTTTACCGAGATTCCACGACAAGACCACTTCATAAAGCTGAAGTGGTCTGGGTGCCTAGAGTGGTCCTTTAACATTCTCCCAGGACAGAGAAGCTTCCACATTATGGCATTCTTAAGCAATCATGTGGTCTACAAGAAACGGAAACTCAGCAGGAAAAAAGACACTTAATACTTTTGCAGACAGATATATAGAAAATGGATGTTTAAGACAAAATGGAACTTGGGCTTATAACAAATATTATTGCAAATAGCTGACATGTTAACCAATTTTAAACAGACTAACCAGTCGGTCATCTGTATCATAAGCCCTGGGTAAATATGGGCAAAGTGTATTATTCCCAACAGTTGTTTTCCTCCTTCGTCCACGGAAGTGGGCGCATATAGTCAAAATGGGAATAATACCTATCCCCCGTCCAAGGACCGGGGTCTAGGATTACCAGTCCACCAAATGATCTGGGGCCAGGCAAAAACCGCAGTGGCAAAAACTCATATTTGAGGAAAAAGCACATCTGGGGAAAACCTGAGTGGGGGCCGCGTTCGTGTTAGACATGTCATCCCCTCACAGTTGACACCACTTGTGACTTATAATACCTGCACCTGTGAGTACATAGCTCGGGTATCGGGAGGAATTGGGAAACACTTCTTACATATTAATTCATGAGATAAATTATAATCTAGCTTGAAATTCTGACAATCACAACCAGGACCTTGCCTCCTATATCTTTTAACCATTTCCCTATTCCAAAGGTCCAGTCAAAACCAGTCATATCC